ATTATGAAGTATCTCAAGGCTCATACTTCTCCTGGCCTGGCCGGGCCCCGTTAATGGCCCCATAAATCCCAGCCATAAAGAGTAATGGGGGGAGACAAATGAGATAATTAGGAATAAATCTCACCGAGGTGTCTATTCAGCAACGTCCCTGGAACTGGCCAATCTTCTGAGCCATTAGTCGGGCCCCTAATTAATGCCGAGCCTCCTGGTGTGGCTGTGCAGGTTCCGGCCTGGGAGGGCCCGGCTGCGGGCACAGGGCCCCCTCAGCCCTCTGCAGGCGACCTTGGGAGGAGCAGGGACACCTGCCCCAGCCTGCCTGCCTGCTCTGCTGTCTCCAGGGCTTAGGGATGCTTTGTCTGCATTGTCCTATCTGCTTCCTTGTCTCTTTGCCTCCTTTCTTCATCTCACTCCTTCTCCCGTCCACCTTCTATCTCTACTTCCCTCTCTTTTTGAAACATATATTTTTATTGAGAGAGAGAAGAAGGGAAAGGGGTAGAGAGATAGAGGGGTAGAGGGATCAATTGGCTGCCTCCTGCATGTCCCCTGCTGGGGTTCCAGCCCACAACCCTGGCATGTGCCCTGACAGGGAATTGAACCAGCGACCTCTTGGTTCCTGGATCAATGCTCAACCACTGAGCCACACTGGCCGGGCTAATTCTCTGACGTGGTGACTGGCCCAGGGATGAGCCTTAGCACCTTCCCTGGACCCCCTGGGCAGCCAATCTGAGAAATGCCAGGTAGGCCCAGCATATGACCTACCTCCCCTCCCCCCGGTCCCCATCACACACCCCTGTCTGCAGTATAAAGGGAGGAGGCTGTAACCCAGAGAGAGGCACCCCCAGAGGTGGCAGGGGTAGTACAGGGTCAGGGAGAGGAAGTAAAACCAGGTGAGAGTCAAGGAAAGTGAGGCAGGGCTTTCCCCTGGAGGAAGTGGAAGGGAGGGGATGGCAGGGTGGCAGGAGGCTGTAGCCATAGGTATCATCTGTGCTGTGTCTCCTTCATCCTCGGAAAGTCAAGAGGTGGGAAGGAGCATAAACACAGAGGTGACAGGGGGAGGCCTGTGACCTCTGTCTCCTTCGCTGCCCCTGTGTGGCCTGAGGTTCCTGTCCCTGCTTCTTCCTCCCCCGCTCCCTTTGTGCTGGGCCAGTCCGGAGAGCTCCACGCCACTCTGCCTTCCCACTGCCCAGCAAGTGTCCGGAGGGCCCCCAGGGAGCAGCCCTCAGGCCCCTGCTGCTGCCTCATCTCCCTGCGGGGTGGGAACTGGCGAAGGCCCAGGCATGGCCGGCTGCTAAGAGGGATCCCATCCCAGCAGCCTGGGCCAGGGGGCGGCAGGGCCGAAGTTGGCTTTGTCCAGCTCTGGGCAGGGGCATGGAGGATGCAGGACATGCTCCATCAGACAGAAGCTGATGCCGAGGGGCGGCTGACCAACCCTTTCCTCAGCAGCCGGCCCCCGGCTGAGCTACTGGCTCAGCGTGGGCAGCAGTTCTGGGGTTTGGCACACAAGGTCCCCCGTGCACACAGGCCGTCCGGGCCAGGAACAACTCAATTTGGCCTCACTACCTCCTCCGCCCACACGTGTTTTAGGTTAGGCACGAAGGGGGCCCCTCAAGAAGTCTCTTGGGCAAAAGGGGTGGATCTGCTGCTCCACGGATGAAGGAGAACCAGAGAGGCAGGCCCCCGCGGCCCCCGCCAGGTTCCCGGTCTCACTGCTGTGCCACGAGAACACGGAGGCCCAGAGCGTGCAGGGCCTTCCCCGGGGCCCACAGCAGAGCCCGGGCTGGACTGGCTGGTGGGAGAGCAGAGATGGAGTCAGCGGGGAAGGCCGGGGAGTGGAGGGGAAGGGGCTAGAGCGCAGGCTGGCCCTGGAAGGATGTCTCAGCAGCGTGGCGTGGGTGGGTGGCCTCTGAGACAAATGCCATCTGCTTCCCAGCAGCATGAGGGCTCCTGGGTGAGATGGGGTGTGGGGGAGGCAGGGCCTCCCGGGAAGACGGGGTGTGGGGGAGGCAGGGCAGCCTGGTGAGGGGAGTGAACACAGGGCTCAGCGGCACCATTCAGGCTGCCTGGGGCTGGCGGTGTTTGCAGGCGCTGAAACGTGAAGTGTGTGAGGGCATGTATATGTGTGTGCGCGGTGTGTGTGTGTGTGTGTGTGTGTGTGTGTGTGTGGTGTGTGACTTGTGGAATATATGTGAATAGTGACTGTAAGGGGAGTCTGTGTATATGTAAGTGAATGACTGTGTGTGAGTAAAAGACTATGTGAATATGTGTGAGTATGTAGAGAGAGGGAGAGAAGGAGAGACAGAAAGGGAGAGAGAGAGAGTTTGTGTGTATGTGAGAGAGATTTTGTGGAATGTATGTGAGTAGTGACTGTAAGGAGAATCCATGTATATGTAAGTAAATGACTGTGTGTGTGGGCGAAAGACTATGTGAATATGTGTGTGTATGTGTGTGAGAGTGAGTGTGTGTGTGTGTGTGTGTGTGTGTGTGTGTGAGCACGCCAGGGGGAGGCTGGCTAAATCCTGCCGGTCCTGCCCCCACCGCCCGACTCTCTGGTTTCAGCCCTGGCCCTAAAGAAAACAGCCTGGCGGGAGCCTGCAGCAGGAAATCACTATTTGGATTGCAGAGGCGCCTCTTCCTGCCCCACGGAGGGAGAGGGCCAGGGAGGGGGCCTTCCTGCCCACCTGGACCAGACCTCTGGTTGGTCTGTAGCACTCTCCTCTTTCCTCCCCCTCTCTCCCCACCCCCACACACCCCAACCCTCCCCTCCAACCTCCCAAGCTCCTCAGGCCCCAGCCTCAGGGAAGAAGGCCTGAGGCTGACCCTCCCACCATTGTCCGTCCTCAGGACAAAGAGCGGCAACAGCAGCAGAGGGGTGTATGTGTGTGAACAGACTGGCACACCCTCACCCAGGGCCACCGGGCAGCCTGGCGGTCACAATGGCACATGCCCGGAGCCCCGCCCTGCCACGTCCAGGAACGTCCTCACCTGAGCTCGCTGGTGCACAAGGAAACCCTGGTTTATCACGGGGGAGTCCGTGGTCGGGGCTGAGCTGGAGATGTCCCTGGATTGCAGCTCATCCCTCAGCGGAACTCCTGATAAGATTCCGAGACCAGTGGTTGAGAGATAAGAGCAGAACATGACCTTGTGTATAGGATTTTGTCATTTTTTTAAAAAGAAAGGGAAAAAAAAAAAAAGCAATACGTGCAAATGTGCAAATGCTCGTGTATGCACAGAGCAGATTTTGGGCCTTTGGACCTCGGGCAGGAAGTAACCAGGCACAAATGGAAATGAGCCACCGGAGACACAAACGCTGAGGGCGCAGAGGATGGGCTTCTGTCCTGCCTGCTGACCTGGGCAGGGAGGGCCCGTTCTGTGTGTCCTGAGTTTCCCAGTGGCCCCAGAGGTCAGGGAACCCGTGATCACGTGCCTGGGGGCGGCAGGGGGTGGGGATGGGTAGGGTGGGTGTGGGGAGTGGGGTGGCAGGAGAGATGTGGGGGTGGGTGAGACCCTCTCACCGCCTCACATTTCCTCCTGCTGCCACTGCGGCCCACTGCCAAGGCCAGGCTGCTGCCTCCTAGAACTTTCCTTAGATAAGGTGACCAGACATCCCGCTTCTGGCAGGACAGTACCGATTTTTAACAATTTGTCCCGCGTCCAGCGGCGTTTTAAAAAAGCCCCGATTTTTTTGAAAGACCACGAAACGTCTGGTCACCCTGTCCTTAGGAGAGGCGCCGGTTCATTGGGCCCTTTCTCCGAGCTCCCTCCGTCCCTCCAAACCACTGCCGACTTTGTTGGGGAAGCAGTGGCCATGAGGTTCCCCCAAGATCGCCACTTCCCAAGGCCTTCCTCAGCCGTGTCTTCTCCTCAAGGCAACCCAAGTCCGGCCACGAGGCACCCTCTCCCTCACTGGGCCCCTCTGGCATCCTCAAGTCCGGGATGGGGCGGGGAGGCTCAGTCCAGCCGGCCATCCCATGGTCAGCGCCCACTGCCCCAGGGGCACCTGCAGGGCTCAGGCCTGCCCCTGCCCTGGACACATGCCTGGGGGGCCCCTGCCAGTCCTGACAGTTTCTTTTTGGAGGTGACTGAACTGGGCCGGGACCCCCTCCCAAGCCTCCCAGTGCAGCCCAGGGCAGGCTCAGGCTGTGCTGGGCCCGGGGTCGCCCCTCCCCTGGACATGGCTCTGCCCCAAACATGGTGCCACCCTTCGAGATTAATCCAAACCTGTACACATCTGCCGTTAATTCCATGCAAGGTTAGCTCTTCCCTCTCTGGACCTCCCTCCCCTGTGGAGGGAACAGGGGATAACGGTGGGGAGTTGGTACCCACTTGGCCCTTCCCTTACTGAGAAGCAAGAGGAGGGAGGGAAGAAGAAAAGCCCCCCTCCCCACAAGCCTCATCCACCCGGCGCTTGGTAGTGGTGTGGGGAGGGGAGTGTTTGCTTTTCAGAGTCGTGGTCCATGGACGTTACTGAGGAGTCTGAGGAAATCGGAGATGACAAATACCTTTATTTACAGCGACACATGGCACAGACCCTCCCTCCATCCCCTCCCCCCTTCCAGTCTTTCCTATACCCTCCCCCTCCCGCCCGCCCCATCCGAGCCCAGCTCTGCGCGCTGGGGTCACTGTATGGGTCACCCCACCCCACCCCCACCCCCACCGCCCAGGAAAGGGGAGGGAGGGCTGGCTGAGGGCGGTGGGCGCCTCTTTTCACATTTTGCTGCGCTCTCAGCCTGGGCGCAGCGGGAGGCGGGCGCCGGGGGCAGGGAGGGGCAGAGGGGCGCACAGCCCGCCCCCTGCGCCCCTGCCCTCCCCCGACGTTCACAGTGTTCCGCGCCCCCGTCCCCAGCGGGTCCCCCCAAACCCCTCCGCCAGGTCCCCGGCCAGGAGGACGGACTGAGGTGGTCCCCGGAGCGCCCCCTCCTGGCCGGGCTGGGGCTCTGGGCGATCCCGGGCGGGGCAGGGAGGAGGGAGGGGGCCGGCAGCTTTGGGGACAGCCGGGCCGGTCAGGAGGAGAAGCAGAGCCCACAGCACTCCATGCAGATCTCCAGGCAGTCGGCGGACTCGCAGCAGGCGTCCAGGATGCCGCAGTCCAGGTCGCAGGGCAGGTCGCAGTCGGCGCACTCGCCGGAGCCGCAGCAGCAGCAGCAGAGGCACGAGTCCTCGGAGCTGCAGGAGCCGCACGTGGCGCAGTCCAGGACGATGTTGCACAGCGTCAGGAACTCGCAGAACAGGCAGGACAGGATGCAGTGCACGCAGCAGTCTGCGGGGGGCGCGGGGGAGCGGGTGTGGGCGAGGCCGGCGGGCCCTGCCACCCCTCACGGAGCCCTCAGTGCCCAGCAGCAGTTACGCTGGAGCGACCAGTAGCTCCGGGAAGTGGGGGCTGCGAGGAGCCTGCTTAGCCCAGGGGGACTGACGTACCCACACCCGCCCGGGGAAGCCAGTTAGTCGGAGTGAGGGGCCAGCCAGGCAGTCTGGATGCCCAGCACTTAACCCTCCTCGGTCACTTATTTAACGGGCACCATGGAATGACACACTGTAGGCACTGTTCTAAGTGCTGGGCATGAATTAAACTCTGTTTAAACGTGCACAACTCCAGGTCAAGAAACGGAGGCAGGGAAATCACTTCAAAACACAGCCAGAGCCCGGGCAGCGTGGCTCAGCGGTTGAGCAGCCACCTATGAACCAGGGGGTCACAGTTCCGGTTCGATTCCCGGTCAGGGCACATGTCCGGGTTGGGGCTTCATCCCCAGTGTGGGGCACACGGGAGGCAGCCAATTGATGATCTTCTCTAATCATTGATGTTCCTTCCCATTTCTATCTCCCTCTCCTTTCCTCTCTGAAATCAATAAAAATATAAACTATAGCCGAAACTGGTTTGGCTCAGTGGATAGAGCGTAGGCCTGCGGACTGAAAGGTCCCAGGTTGGATTCCCATCAAGGGCATGTACCTTGGTTGTGGGCACATCCCCAGTAGAGGGTGTGCAAGAGGCAGCTGGCCGATGATTTTCTCTCATCGATGTTTCTAACTCTCTATCCCTCTCTCTTCCTCTCTGTAAAAAAATCAATAAAATATATTTAAATATATATATATATATATATATATATATATATATATATATATATATATATAAAATATATAAAATATAAAATAGCCAGAATCCTCCCACACTGCTAATCTCTGCCAGGGCCAACTGCTTCTTCACTCCACCCCCCCATCCTGCCCCAGCCATCCACACCCCACACACCAGGGGCCCTTAAAAATTTGGGTGAGATTCTGTCCCTCTGTCTCTCCTGTGCTCAGAACTCTCCAGTGGCCTCACTGGGAGTAAAAGCTAAAAAGCTCAGAGTGGCCCCCATGGCTCCCTGTGACTGGGTTCACTCCCCCCCTCTGTCCCCTGGTCCCTGCTGTGGCCACACAGCCTGCTCCTCCTCACACAGGCACTACTCCCCCCACCACACACACACACCCTGGAATGCCCTGGCCCCAGATAAATGCTGGTGCTCATCCCCTCCCTCCTTCAGTGCCCAAATGCCACCCTCTTTCATAATGCAACCTGCCCGCCCCACCCCAGCACCCCCTTCCGGCACCCCACCCCCTTGCCCTGGCCTCCTTCACCTGGTAGGACTTGTCACTTTCCACCGCACTACCCACATTTCCTCTCACTACACTGGGAGCTCCAGCTTGTCTGTCCCCAGAACAGAGCTGGACACATGGCAGGTGCAGAGTAAATAAACGGGGAGTGCATTGATGCAGGAGCCGCTCTTGGGCACCCAGCTGGTAAGTGCTGGTGCTGGGACCTGAACCCAGGCAGGCTGGCTCTGGGGTCCACACTCTGAAGCGCTCAGTGTGCTGCCAGGATGCTGAGCTGGCACCTCTGCCAGGGGCCAGATCAAGGGGCAGAGTGTCCACGTCCCGAGCAGGTGAGCCCCTGGCACAGGCTGCTGGTCCTGTGGGGGTCTCACACTGCCATGGAGGGTCCGACTCCCCCAGCCCTTTCCTGGGAGGGGGGGCGGGGGAGTGGGGTCTGGTACAGCTGGAACCCCTGCAAGCTATCGGCAAGCTGAAGAGGGGCGTTCTCTTCCAATACAAATCTGATGAGGCCACCACCTTGCTGGAAACCCTCAGTGGCTTCCTATTGCTCTCCCGATAACTGATAACAGATAATCAAAGTCCACTGAGCATGGTTTACGAGGCATCCCCGCTTCCTGGCCCTGGCCCTGGCCTGGCCTGGCCTGGCCTGGAGTCTCACCTCCCACCATTCCTCACCTTGAACTTCATAACCTAGCACTTTAGCCATTTCTCACCTCTTTGCTAAACCCCCCTAACTAGATCCTCCTCAACCTTTAAGCCTTGCTCAGACTCCTCCAGAGCCTTCCTAGGGTCCCCTCCCTGACTTTCTGGGCTGGAATGGGGGGCCCCTGTGTTCCCATAATCCCCTGTGTGTGTGGCTTCCTCATTATTTATCACATCATAAGGTGACTCCCTGCTGTGTCTTTCTCATGAGAGCTTATGAGGCCGTGGACTGGGCACCCGGCACATAGCAGGTGCCTGGTTCACAGCAACGCCCACTACCCTTCAATGAATCAACGCCTCTTTCATACATTAGCTGGGCAGAGTCTGCTCTGCGAGGTGGGGAGGCTTATGAATACGCATGTGCAAATGTGTGCGCCGAGTCCTGTTTGCAGAGAACCAGGTCAGGGTCTCCCAACATGGACAGGAATCACTTAAAAAGTCTGGGGTAAAGGTCAAGCACCACTGAGCTACAGGCAGCTGGGGCTCGTGCGGAATTGATGCTGGGGGAGGGGAGAGGCCCAGCGTGGCGCTGCGGAGGGCCTTGGTGTTGCAAGCACAATGGCTGTGTATCTCGGTTCCTGACCTCCCACTGCACTGAGTAGCCCCTGTCGACCTCCCCAGTTCAGTGTCTCACGGTGCATCGTTCTGTTCTGCCAGGTGCTCTGTCTGCTCTCACTAAACAGATGGTCCACTCCTTGAGGAAAACTCCTTCTGGTTCCAGAAACGGGATGGCTTAAGCGGGATTAGGCCATCTGGCTCCGTTCCTGGTTACAGAAACTCTGGGAGAGCAGCGGTGGGAAGGCATTGGCCTTGAAAAAGGCACATTTGCCTCAGTTTATCCAACCGCCTTTGCAAAGCTTTCAGATTTGAGTCTTGCAGCAGACTCCCCGGAGGGCTTGTTACAGCCCCCCTGGCTCCTGCCCCACCCAGAGGTTCCGGTCCAGGGGGCCCGGCCTGGGGCCGAGACCGGTTCCCAGAAGCCCGGGGGAAGACCCTGCGCTGCTGGTCCCTGGGTCAGGCCTTGGAGAAGCTGGCTTGGAGGCCCCTCAGGGAGAGGTGGCACTCACCTTCCTGTGCCTGCAGAGGGATCTGGGAGGCGGCGGACTTGGTGCTGCCTTTGCTCTTCTTGCTGCCCTGGCTGGCGAGAGATGGGTGGGCCTGAAGCTTCCGGTGGGCCTTGGGGCCACCCAGGGTGCCGTTCCCCGCCCGCCTGGCGCTGCCCAGCTCCAAGGGGTGGCCGGAGCCATTCGCCAGTAGTGGGGTGCAGCCCAAGGGGTTCCCCTGTGGCTGGCCTGGAGAAATGACGAGAAAGGGGGGTGGAGTTGGGAACCAGGCTCCGTTCTGCTCCTGCCTGCTTTGTCCTCACAGACACCACAATTCACCCCCCAGGTTAGCGTCCTGCAGATGAAGAAACTGAGGCCCAGAGAGCAGAACTGACGTGCCCAGAGGCACACCAGGAAGTAGCACCGAGTGGAGCCTGGCTCCGGACTCGCAGGCCAGTGCTCATTCCAGAAGTCAGAGGTGCAAGAGGGGCTCAGAGTGCTGGACCCCACCTCTTCCCCCCTACATGAAACCCAGTCCCCCGACTTGGGGTCCTGGGATTTGGGCGGGAGAGGTGGCGGTGGGGGAGGGACCGGGACAGTGAGGCTGGGGTGGGAGGGCAGCAGTGAAGTAGTTAACCTTCGCTTTGGCCTCTGCCAAGCCCCCAGCTGTTTTTGCCCTTCGTGCGCTGGGTGAGTTATTAGAAACATCTGTTTGGAGACGGATGCCTGGTCTGGAATCCGGGGGCTCCTCACAGCAGCCCCTCTATCGCCTCTCCTCCACGCCCTGCCCTGTCGGCCTCTGCGGGGCGGCTGGCGGGAGTCTGCTGAGGGGCCCTTGGGGTCTGGGTGAGGAGGGAGAGAAGGGCGGAAGAGGGAGGCCAGCGGGGAGACCCCTGAGGCCTGGAACCCCCGGGTCCCCTTCGCAGGCTGAGGGACCAGACTCAAGCTGTATCAGTGAGGTGCAGGGAGCTGGCCCCAGAGAGCCCGCCAAACACCCAGGTCTTCCCTCACCCCCTCGAGCCTGCTCACCTGAAAGGCAGTTCTGTTCAGAAGCCATGAGGGCAGCCATGGCGGGGAGGGCGCTGAGAAGGGGCGCTATTGCTTGGAGCCCTCAGGGCGGGTCCTGGGCAGGACCCATGGGCCCGAGGCCTCTGTAAACATGGGGAACTCCCATCTCTCAGGTGCTGGGGCCTGGTCCCCCAACTCCCTCCAGGCCTGGCCTCTGTGTTTGAACTGTGGTAGGAGGAGATGGGGGAGGGGGCCTGGAAGTGGGGGAGGAGGCCGGGAGGCAGAGAAGGGAGACTACCTCAGTGCCTGGCGAAGGGCTGGGCCTTCTGGGAATGGCAGTAGTCACACCACTGAGCACTCACTGCTTGTCGGTGACTAGTTTAAGCCCGTGGCCTGCTAATTACTCACTTGCTGGGTCCTCTGGGTATTGCTACTGGGCTGTATCTTCCCAGATGAGGAAACTGAGTTCCAGAGAGGTACAGTAATTTGTCCAAGGCCCACAGCTCCTGTCAGAGGTGGAGCAGCCTAGAAGCTGGGAGCTGAAGCTCACAGGCCACAGGAAGGAGGGGACAGAGATTGGGAGACAAGGGGCTGGGGAACAGGCTGCTTCTAGCACAGCCATCACTATGCTCCTAACTAGTAGTTGGTATGTTCTGAGCTGTTACGGGTGCCAGGCACAGTGCTGAGAGCTTTATGGGTCGTGATGTCTTTGAATGTCAGGAGAGGTCAATTATTAGCCCCATTTCACAGATGGCAACATCGAGGCCCAGGAGGATAAAACTCGCCAAGAGTCCATGTCTAGGAGAGGGGAGGGGTGAGGGGATGGAGGTTGGGAGAAAAGAGCAGAGAGGTGGGGAGTCTGGCAGGATGGGAGACCGGGCTCTGAAGAGGCTCTGAGCTGGAAGCCGTCCACCCTGAGCCCTGAGGCATGGCTGGGGCCTGCATCTGGGTAAACAGGGGTAAGGGAAGTGGCCAGGCCTGAATCATCATCCCCCCACCACTTGGCCCCATGGGGGTGTCTGAGCTTGAATCCTTGGCCAGCCTCAGTGCCCCCTGCCCTGCTGCCTAAACATGGCACAGTGACCAGCAGGCGGGCATGTGTGGTAAGCTGAGGGCCCAGGGGGGTGTGGGCAGACACAGAGCTTGCCTGTGGCCATAGCAGTGGAGTGACCAGGGGACTGAGTCACAGAACAAACACTCAGACCCCGCAGACACAGGAGCGACTGTCCAACTCCCACTCAGACTGGCCACCGTGCTGACCTCTTTCCCCTAATTCTGCTGGGGGGCATGTTTGGAGGGGGCTGAGGGCAGTGCCCGAGCAGGATTTAGCAACCCTGACTTCCAGGGAGTCCAACTTCGCCCCAGATGCCCTGCCTGGCGTGCCAGCTCCCGGCTCAGCATGCCAGCTGGGTGGGCAGGCACAGGAAAGAGCACTGGGTCAGGAGACCTGAGTCCCCAGCGTCTGTCCAGGGTGAGTGGTTCTCTGCACCTCACTTTTCTGGTCTGTGAAATGGGCTTGACAATAGGCTGGACAGCACTTGGGATCATTCAGGGAAAGACAGTTGGAAAGTGCAACGGTGTCTGCAGATTTGGGCATCTTAGTAGTCATTACACAACCCCCTGCTTTTGAGGGTGAAGGTGGAGAATGCTCTTCCTCCCAGAACCTCCTCGGAGACCTCAATCTGAGCCTGGGAATGAAACTGAAGTTTGCTCCTTTCTGCCCAGACCGACTGGGGGCTTCCCTCCTTCCTTTTGGCCTGGACGCCCCGAAGGCTGGTGCTGTGCTGGGCTCTGGCTGCCTCTCCCTGGTCCCTGTGCCTCCTCTCAGAGCCCCAGGCTCTCTGTCCTGCACCACAAGGCTGGGGTCCTGACTTACTTTTCCGGTGCACACTCATTTTGAACTAATCTCACACTAATAAGTTTGTGCGTGGAGATCTTCCTAGACAGAAAGGACAGTGACCTCTCCGCTGCCCTCCCTCCGGGTCCCGGCCCTGTGCTAGGCGTTTCTGCCAGCCCACCTGGACGGCATTCCCCACTGGAACCCCTCCGTGTCGCCGCCCCGATTCCCCGGCCCCCTAGGACTCACGTGTCACAGCTTCCGTGGAGACGTGGAGGTCAGTGCTGTCCAGGGCCTGGGCGGCCCCAGGGCCATTGCCTTGAGGCATGGGGTGCGCCGCCTCCTCCAGGGAGCCCTCTTCTAGCACTGCCTCCACAGAGGGAGTGGGTCCTGTTCCTGCCTCCAGCCCAGGCGGGGGCGATGGGGTCTGGGCTGGGGGGAAAGCAGACGAGCGAGGTGTTTCTCGGTGCCCTTCTGTGTGCCCAGCCCGCTCCCCTCCCTGCAGCCCGATCGCTGGGAGCCCTCATTCCTGGTCTCTTTGTACAGTTACCCAGCCTTTCCCCCACCTGGCAACAGTGCCAGACTCCAAAATAGACTCCCAGACCACAGCGCGTGAGCCAGGGAGCGAGGGTGAGTGAGCATGTGCTCATGAGTGCCTGTGCATGTGTGTGCATGCGTGTATTGGTGGTGTCAGGAGAAGAAGGAGAGAACAGACAGGTGGTCGGCGATGGAGAGACAGGGACAGGCACCAGGAGTGATAGCGAGAGAGAAGGAATCCAAGGGACAGTGACAAGTGGAAGCTAAGATAGAGCATCAGAAGGCGGGGATTGGGCCCGGGAGGGGAGAGCCCCAGAAACCCAGTGACACACAAAGCCTGCTCCAGAAGGGAGACTGCAACAGAGCGAGAGTAGCGATGGAGAGAGAGATAAGACAGGGTCAGAGGCAGAGGCGAAGGAGAAGGGAGCGCGATACAGGCTGAGTGAGAGGGAGACAGACAGTGAGAAATTGGATCGGAGAGAGGAAGACAGCAAGAGAAAGAGTTAGAGGAAACCTGGGGTGAGGGGAAGGCTGGGGCCTGGATTGGAGGGGCAGGAGCGACAGGGAGAAGAGGCGGGCGGGCGGGCGGCAGCCACATGTAATTACAGTGACCAGCTCAGCCCTCTGCACAGTGGGCGGAAGGAAGGAAGGAGCCACCTTCAAACCCACAGCTCCCCGAGCGGGTTGCAGGAGGCAGGACTAAGCCCCTGGGCCCAGGGAAAAAAGTTAGGGGGATGGGCGGTGGAGGAGGGAGGCAGACAGGACCTTAGTTCCCACAGGGCGTGGGAAGGCCTGCGGGGAGGCAGGGCGTGGAAGGGTGAAGGCAGGGTCATGGGGCCAAGGAGCAGACTGGGCAATTACAGGGTGCAGGGTGCCGCCTGAGCCTCGGCGGACCTCAGGCTGTGCAGTGGGAAGACGGGGGCCTCAGGAGGGTGCCTCGCATGCCACACTGGGAACAGGGAAACATAGAAACAAGAGACTCGGAGGGGCACACACCAAAAGGGCACGGAGAGGAGAGGGACTCGGGGAGACAGAGGAGGATGGAGGGAAAGGGCGGTGAGACCCAGTAAAATATTCACAGCCATGTGGACACACATCACAGAGGCTGAGAGAGAGGCACCAGAGGGACACAGAGAGAAAATCTAGTCTTGGAAATAGAAACAAATCAACGATGAGGATCATTAGGCTTACATAGGGGGTACCTCTCTGAGCTGTCTCCAATGGAGTGGGGGGAAGGGAGGAGGGCAATAATGAAGGCTGGGCACTCAGGTTTGGGGAGAGGGGCGGGGGACACCTCGAGGGGAGAGAACACGCAGGGGCTCAGCTGCCTCCCTGGGCCCTGAGCATCCGTCTACTATGGCTCCTGACCTTGTTTCAAAGACCCTGGTCTCCCATGGCCAGGCCACAGGCCCCGGAGGCCCAGAGCGGAACACAGAGAGCAGCAGCCATGCTCACGCTCAGTCCTGCCACGGAAACACGGGCCCTGCCTGGAGCCAGGAGCCAGGGCCGGAGGCGTTAGGGGCCGGGGCACCAGCGACTTCTGGGGGACACCAGAGTCATGTGTTGGGAACCCCTCGTGGTGCCCAATCCTGCTCCACAGAGACAGGGTGGGTGCCTCCAGCCAGGGTCCACTCTTTGGGCTCGTGGGAACCCCATCACCCTGGATCAGGAGAGAGAGGTCAATGGCTTTTGGAAGGGCACAAAGCTGGGACAGGGTGGCAAAGGCGAGTGGAGGTGACACGAGGGAGGAGATGCTGCCTGGTCCATGGGCCTCTCCTGGCCCCGAACATGTCTGCAGCAGCTCAGACAAGGCTTTTGGGGCTGAGACCCCAGGTTGTGAAGGAAGGGAGGTCCTAATTCTCTGGAGAAGGAGGCCTGCCCCGCTCCAGCCTCTGGCCCTGAAGGGGGGGCGCTGACTCTCCCTGTGGTAAAAGGGAGAAGTCAAAGAGAAGTATCAGATCCAAGCGTGGTCTCCCCAGTTACCAGCTTGGGCAAGTTACCAGGACTTGGGTTCCCTTGTGTGTAACGGGGGTTCCTGAAGCGGATCTCTCAGGGGGTCAGAGAGTGGTGAGAGGCTCAGCAGTGTCCTGGCCTGAAGGGCCATCTGGAGCACTTCCACCCATTGACCCGCCCGCTGCCCTCCTCACACAAACCAGGAAAGAGAATCCAGTTCAGGCGTCTTGGCCTGGAAACTCAAAGGGACGACTCTCCTGGGGCAGCAGGGGCAGCGGAGCGGAGCAGCCGCTGCCCAAGGGAACATCGCTGAGGGTGGGAGAGGAAACTGCCGAGTGCCAGAGAGCGGGAAGCAGAATGAGAAGGAGTAGAAGTGGCGGGAAGACCTGAGCTGTGAGTCAGAGGGCCCGAGGTCTAGATGCTAGACCAAGACACAGCTCTCTCCATGGCACATGGGGCAAAAAGCCAGGCACGAGGCCCAAGTGCTCACCCATCAAGAGCTGGAAAGAGCCCTACCCAGTTTGGCTCAGCGGATAGAGTGTCGGCCTGCGGTCTGAAGGGTCCCAGGTTCCATTCCGGTTAAGGGTATGTACCTTGGTTGCGGGCACATCCCCAGTGGCGAGTGTGCAGGAGGCAGCTGATCGATGATCCTCTCTCTCATCGATGTTTCTAACTTTCTATCCCTCTCCCTTCCTCTATATATACAAAAGAGAAGGGGGGGGGGGGAGGAGATGGAAAGAGCCCAGTTTTCCTTGTGACTGTGGGACTCTGCTGTCCAGCCACCGAGGAGAGAACATCTCTGAGGAAGAACGCCCAAAGGATGTCCCCTAGAGGGTGGAAGTGCAGCGTGGGCTGGAGGCAGGGTGGCCAGACTGGCTTGTGGATGTGCAAGTCATGTTCTGCATAAAGGCACCGGCCAAGGGGGCGGGGGTGGTTGTGCCCGGCTTCCTGGAGATGCCATTGGCTCGACCAGCTGCACACCTGCTGCCTCTGAGCAAAGGGCCCCTCTTTTTAATGTGCACAGAGGGCCGCCGGTCCTGGGTGTCCCTGAGCAGCGGTCCCCCTCCACAAGCGGGAAATACAGAAAGGCAACAGCCTGACACACATTCATTCCTAACCCAGGATAAGGCGCTGGTCCACGCCCTGGGCTCTGGAAAGGACCGAGGAGAGGGTGGGGAATGTTTAAACCGATCAGCCCCAGAGGGGTAGGGAGAGAGACCCAGGCTCCGCAGGGTACCTGTGGGCTCCCTCTGCCTGCTGTCCACCACGGTAAGGGGCACCGGGGAAAAATGGGGGACTGCTTCCAGGCGGAGTGGATTCACCCCGAGGCTGGAGTGACCACAGGGCCCTTGTTCCGGAGCGGCCAGGCCAGATCCCGCACACCCGCCTTCTCCACAGGCGTGGTGGGCAGTGGGTCTGGGCTTCTCCCCAGTAAAGAAGAGGGGACCAGGATCTGCTGTGCTCAGAACTCCGGTCTCCCCTGGCCTGCTAGCCAAGGCCTCAATCTAGATCCTCAATAATCAATGGACAAGGATGGCATGTTCCAGGCACACTGACCTGGAACAGTGTGGCTCCAGGCCTTCTGAACCAGCCCCTCAGGCTTAGCGTGTTCCTGTCTCCCACTGCACCATCCAGCCCTTCCCTTCCTAACCCAGCTCAGCTTCACCTCTTCCTCCAGGGCCTCCCCTGAGCCCCAAGCCAGCTGTGCCTCCTCCGTCCCTCCTTGGAGTGGCCCACTTCTTGAGGACCTAGCACTCAGCACCCTTGCTGTTCACTATGACCTGGCAGGGGGGTCCTGGCCCCTCCACGCCCAGGGCAGCCTCCCTGGCTCTGGCTGGCGGTGGTGTCGCCAGCGGGGGGTGGGGGATCTGGCCTTGCTGCTCCAGAACATCTCTCACTACAGCGGGGACTCAGCAGGGTCTGTTGGGGAGGACGGAGCTCTGGAGCTTGGACTCGCCCAGGGCAGGGAAGGAGAGAGAAGGAGACGGTGAGGACTGGGGATGGCGACTGGCTCGAACCCCAAGAAGGCGAGCATGTGGACTCCCTTGATACACAGCTGTGACACCCTGGTCACCGTCCCAGGCCACCGGCTGAGGACCGAGAGGGCCTGAGCTGGCCAGTTAAGGCTGGGTTGGGTTGGTTTTATTTTAGGTCTGAAGGCTCCAATTCCCCAGGAAATTCAATTTAGAACCAAGAGCAGGAATGTGACGCCCCAGTGCTGGGCAGAAATCTGCTGTGGGTGAGGGAGCCAGGCTCTGGGGCTCTGAGGGGTGGGTGGGGAGAGGCCACTGGGGGCGCCAAGGGTGTGGGTGGGGGCTTGGCCACCTGCCCCAACCAGAGCTGCCCCAGGTTCCTTCACCCCAGGTTCCATCTGCCCCTGTGGAGGGTGGGGCTGGCTTGCTCCCTGGCCGTCCTGCCCGCAGGGCCCCGGGGGCAGCACCCTGGCCTGGTTGTGCTGTCAGGGCTCAGCGGGGAGCGTGGGGGATTCTGGTCTCGGATTCAGGCGTCTGTGGGGTTTTGGCTGCGTCTCCTGCGGTTTGGGCTTCCTGGGCAGCAGCCTCATGCTCCCAAGGCGGCAGAGCCAGGCCTCCTCCGGTTATGAAAGCCACATTGTCTGGCTCGGCCCAGCCTGGGGAGGGGGCTCGCTGGGGTGCTGGGGGCCTCAAGTTACAGCTCTGGCCTCCACCCTCCCAGGGGTCCCCCTGGCCTCTGCCCCCCCACCCCAGCACATGTAGCCCCACTTCTCCCTTCGGGGCTGAGAGTGTGGGTGGGTCGCACCGGGAGAGGATCTGGGAAAGAGGCGCTGAGAAAACAGATAAGCAGAGGAAGAAAGCAGGGAGTGGGAGGACAGGCCAGAAGGAGGCTGAGAAAGAGAGGAGGGGCGAGGGAAGCGGAGTGGGAGAGAGAAGGTTCCCAGCCCCCCAAAAGCCTCCCCGGCCCCTGGCTCCAGCTCGCTCCAGCCCTAAGGAGCCCAGTTCTTGGAGGAGCTTATTCCCAGAAGCCCCTGCTCCAGGGGCCCACCGAGAGGAGGGAATCTGAGGATTACAGGGAGCGCGTGCAGCAGACACATTAGTGTCATTCATGCGCTGGCCCCCGGCCAGATATCCCCTCACTGTCCTCGCTCTGTTCTAGGAGGCCCCCCACCTCCTCAGCCTGGGGGTGGGGTGGGGGCAGAGGGCCATGGCTCCCACTCGCAGACTGGGGAGGGGGACAGGCCCTCCGGCAGGCAGACAGGCTCCCCCCGGGCGGATGTGGAGACTGAGGCCAGAGGGGAAGGAACTTGTCCCCGGCCATGCCGGCCGGGATTGTGTCAGAGGTCCAGGACCAGACCATCATCACTCAAAGGGGGAGGAGAGTGGGGTGTGTGTGAGAGATAAAGAGGCAAATGAATTAGACTCACTAGGAGCTGGGATTAGAGTCATGCAATCTGGGCCTATGTGCCTGCACCCCAGCCCTATGCTCTGAACAGATCCCCAAAGTTCCCGACTTCTGACTCTGTTCCCCGACTTCTGACTCTGTTCCCCGGTGAGCCTCTGCTCCCATCTGTACAGGGAGGGGGGCTGAGAGCCCCAGCCCAGGGGGCTCCCGCCCTCAGGGGGTCCCAAACCTCCTGGGTAGGGAGGCTCCTGCAGGACCCCGGGGATGGTACAGACCCTGTGAGCTAGGAGAGGGGTGTGTGTGTGTGTGTGTGTGTGTGTGCAGGGCAGGATCAAAGGGGACTGGCCAGGCCCGGGTGGGGAGGAAGGCGAGTAAGACAGATGGCAAGAAGGGGAGGGGCTGGGTCCTGCGGCCGCTTTAGGCGAACAAAAGTTTTCGGGAAGCGCTGGGCTCCGGTGGGGCTGGGGGAAGGGAAGAAGAGGAGAAAGACTCAGACATCCCCACCTTCCCCTGAGGCCCCCATAAATATTTACACACTGGGCCGAAATGGCTGGGACACCAATCCCAGTCGGACAGACAGCCTGCAGTGTGTGTGCGTGTGTGTGCGTGTGTGTGTGTGTGTGTGTGTGAGAGAGAGAGTCTGGTTGGGAGTGAGGGGAGTTAAGCCAACTTGGCACGGCCCCGGCTGCGTTGGGGCCCTGCCCCCATCACCCCAGCGCTCCACTCGATTTGGATCCCGTCCCAGCTAGCCAGACCCCTCGCCTTCACTTCCACCAGGCTCCCCCAAACTGTCTCCTCCTGTCTCGGGGAGAAGGAGGGAGCATTAACCCCCCCACCCCGGAGCCACCCACCCCTCCCCGGCCCAGCCTCCTCTCCCCCTCCCACCCCCACATCGTACCTGGGCCGGGGGCTGCGCTGGGGGCTGCATGGGGAGCGTCGCAGCGAGGGGCGTGCTGGCCGCTCACCTGGGACATGGGCCCGGGACCTGAGGAAAACGGGGCTCAGCGGGTGGGGCGCCCTCGCCCCGCGCTGCGTGCGGGGAGGAGGGCTGGCAGAGGCGATCCGGCCGCCGGCGAGAGCCGCCTCCGTCCAGCTCGGCCACCGACGGACTTACTCGTGCAAACTGCGCGCTCCTCTCGCCTCCGGGATCACGGCGCCGGGCCTGCCATGCGCCCGCCCAGGCGCCCCCGCCGAGGGGCCCGCAGTCCCGGTGCCGCCCCGCGCCCCCTCCCCGCGCCCCCTCCCCGCCTCACTCGCGCCGCGCTCCCCTTTCGGCGCCAGCCCGCGCCGCGCGCCCCCTTCCTCCTTCCCCCCTCCTCCCCTCCCTCCGGCCCCCTCCCTCCCTCCTCCCCTGCTGGCCGCGCGCCTCCCTTCCTCCCGGCCCACCCTCTCCCCGCCCCCTGCTCGCAGTCCCGGCGCTCCCGGCCCACCCCCACCCCCACCGCCCCCGCCCCCACCGCCGCCGCCGCGTCCCTGCCCCCGCGCGGGGCTCGGCACTGCCTGGCCGGACGCGGCTGTCCACGGGGCGCCGCGGCCCGAGCCCCCACAGGAAGCGGGCTCCGCGCGTTTCCTCCGCGCTGGCAGAGGGGGGCCCCAGTCTCCCCAAATCTCCGCCCCCCTCCCCGATCCAGCGCCCCCAGGGGCTGCGCGCTCCCTTCCGCCTGTCCTAAACTCTGCAAAAGTTTGCGCCAAGTCCGGAGGAAAGAGAGAGAGAGAGAGAGAGAGAGAGAGAGAGAGAGAGAGAGAGAGAGAGAGAGAGAGAGAGAGAGAGCGAGCGCCACTTGGGGCTGATTGTCTGGCTGCTGGTGGCTTCCAGATCTCCTGGTCCCCGCGATGGGAATGGCAGGGTTCCTCGGGCACCCTCTGCGCACCCCCTCCGTCCCCCGGGGACCCTGAGCCGGGCGCCCAGGCCCCGCCAGAGGTTGTCCCCAGGGGTTGGTGGCGAGCTACCCTCGGTCCCCCGGCCTCTCTGAGCATCCTCACCTCCCACCCCGCCCGCGGCGCGTGGGAATCTGGGTCGGAAAACCAACGTGGAGGCCAAGAGCCCTTCTCCCGTGCAGCACTTCCTTCATTTCAGCTCCGGGCCGGAGTCCGGGGCCTCCCGGGCTGTGGGGACGCTGGGAAGGGGAGAGAAGGGGCCCTCCAGGCCGGGGCAGTGGGGCGCATCTGGAATTGTGTGCGGGGCGCTGCCTCGGGGCCGTGGGGCAGGAAGAAAGCTGCCGACGGCAGCCCCAGAGGGTTCAAGGACCCTCAGCGCGACCCTGGGACTCCATCCCCGGCCCCGTCCCCGACCCCGGGCGCGCGGCGAGGTGACAGCGTCTCGGCCAGGCGAACCGGCCGCCTCCGAGCCGCGTCCCGCGGCGCCGGGACTGGGACGGGGGCCCGGGAGGGACTGCCCCGGCCCGCGCGTCAGCTACTCACGGCGTCGGAGGTCTGCGCCGCGCCGTCTCGGCCGAGATCGCCGGGGCCCCGCGGCGCCCCCGCGCCCTCGCCCCCTGGGCCCGCGTCCCGCGAAGAGAGAGCCCCGCCGGCGACAGCCCGGAGCGGGGTCCCGGGCCGGGAGGAGGGGCCCAGCTCCCGGGGCCGGGCTGCCTGCTGCGGGGGCTTAGCCTGGCACCCGGGAGCCAGCCCAGATCGGATCCGGCTGCAGTCTGGGAGCCTTGGAGATGGGGCGGCCTCCCCCTTCCTGGCAAGGGCTGAGTCACCGGGACGCGCCCGCGCCCAGGCTTGGCCATTGCTGCATTCTTACCGGCTTAGGCTCACCTGGGCCCGGGGCAGGGCCTCACCCGCTTCCAAGAATGGGGTGCAGGATGAGGGGTGGGCATGGTCCCCAGGGCAGCAGCCCCTGCCATCTCTCTCTGCCCCCTCTCCGACCACAGACCCCAGAGCTACGCCAGCCCCCTTCTCAGTCTGGATCCAGGGACCCCGCACTCTGGATCAGCCCAGGGCCCCAGCCTCACCGTCTGAAGTCGCCTGCTGGACTCAGAGTCCTCTGAATCTGGCACAGGACACAGGAATATGTCTGGTTTGTTGGAAACGTGAAGTACGCTTTAAATTTAATCCCACATTGGTTACACAAGTGTGCTCAGTTTGTGAAAACCCAGCAAACTGAACATTTAAGCTACATGTGCTTTTTGTGTGTCAAGGTGACACTTGAATAACAAGTTTTTAAGCATGGTATTAGAGCGTTGGTGGGGGGTAGAGTGTTGGCCTGTGCAACAAAGGGTCGTGGGTTCGATTCCTGGTCAAGGCTGGGTTGCAGATTTGATTCCTGCCCCATAGGTACCTTCGGGAGGCAGTCAATAGATACATCTCTCTCACACCAATGTTTCTCTCTCTCTCTTTCTGTCTCTCCTCCTTTCTCCCTTTCCCCCTCCTTCCTTCCCTTCCACTCTCTCTAAAAATCGATGGAGAAAATATCCTCAGGTGAGGATTAACAACAACAAAACTCTGAAAATCCAACACTCCAGGACAGAGCAGCGTAGGGTGTGATGGCCAGGCAGTGGGTCTGCAGTTCAGATCCCACTTTTGGGAAAGTCCCTCACCTCTGGGAGCCTCAGGAGGCCTGAACACTGGGGCCCGCAATGTGGAACCCAATCATTTCATTGTTAACCGGGACCGGGACTGAGGTTCTGGATGAGTGAGGTAAATGGGGCACTCATCAGGGTGCAGAATTTAGGAGGGTGCCAGGGTACAGAGCATTGTGATCTAAAAGTAAAACACCTGCCAGTCAGCTGCCTATTTTTTTAAAAATATATTTTTATTGATTTTGTACAGAGAGAAGGGAGAGAGATAGAGAGTTAGAAACATTGATGAGAGAGAGTCATCAATCAGCTGCCTCTTGCACACTCCCTACTGGGGATATGCCGGCAACCAAGGTACATGCCCTTGACCGGAATTGAACCCGGGACTTTTCAGTCCCCAAGTTGACGCTCTATCCATTGAGCCAAATAGGTTTCGGTTCAGCTGCCTATTTTTATAAATAAAGTTTTATTGGAACCAGGGTCGAGATCAGGGTGAGCTGAGTGAGATAGGATCAAACAAGTTCAGGGTTAGATCCTGTTATTTAAAATGTTGGCATTTTGTTCATCATGGATTTTTAAAAATACGTACTTTATTCATTTTTTACAGAGTGGAAGGGAGAGGGACAGAGAGCTAGAAACATCGATGAGAGAGAAACATTGATCAGCTGCCTCCTACACACACGCACACACACCCACTGGAGATGTGCCCGTAACCAAGGTACATGCCCTTGACTGGAATGGAACCTGGGACCTTTCAGTCCACAGGTCGACACTATCCATTGAGCCTAACTGGCTAGGGTGACTTTTTTTTTTAATTTTGATTTTTAGGTATTGCAGTAAAATACAATGACTGACTTTTTTTGATGCCCCCTTAAGTTTTTCACCTGAGTGGATTGCTTCACTCACTCTAGGCCTTACACATCTCACCCTGAGTAACCTGAAGTTCCTGGCTAGGACCCCAGGGTAAATGAGCGGAGGTTGGAGTTTGCCCCCCACCATACACACACAGATCGAGGGGGCGAGGGGGGCTCTGTGCCCAGGTCTGGCCTAGCTTTCCTGGGGCCCATTGATCAGAGCAGAAGGCAATCCTTATAATGGCCTTCAGGCTGGGCTCTGTCTGTCTCTGCCTTTTCCTTCCTCCCTCATTTCCTTCCAGCCCTGCTGCTTCCGGAGTTTGTTTTTTCACTTTGCCTCAGTGGCTTGCCTCAGGGCCTTTGCACTGGCTCTTCCCTGCCCAGCATGTGCTTCCCCCAGATAGTCCTGTGGCCCTTCCTCCTTTCCTCCTTTCCTCTGTTTATGTCACCTCCTCAGAGAGCCATGCCAGACCCCTCACTCTGTCCCATCACACCACTGGATTATTCTTCAAAGGTCTCTTTCCACTTTTCCTATTTACCTGTTTTGTTTTGTTTTGAAATATATTTTATTGATTTTTTTACAGAGAGGAAAGGAGAGAGATAGAGAGCTAGAAACGTTGATGAGAGAGAAACATCGGGGATGTACTTGCAACCAATGTCCTTGACAGGAATCGAACCCGGGACCTTTCAGTCCTCAGACCGATGTTCTACCACTGAGCCAAACTGGTTTCAGCAAAAATATATTTTATTGATTTTTTTTACAGAGAGGAAGAGAGAGGGATAGAAAGAAACATTGATGAGATAGAATTATCAGTCAGCTGCCTCTTGCACCCCCCACCCCCCGAGGATGTATCTGCAACCAAGGCACATGCCCTTGACCAGAATGGAACCAGGACCCCTCAGTCCTCAGGCCGACGCTCTATCCACCGAGCCAAAGCGCTTTCGGCTATTTACCTGTTTATTGGTGGATTGGGAGCTCCAGGAGAGAAGGGACTTTGTCATCCCTGCTGGTGCATCCCCTAGAATCGTGTCTGCCAGGAAGAGTCCAATGAGTATTTCCAGTGTCACCTATGGGGAAACAGAGGCCGGAGAGGGGAAGGGGCGAGTGCATGTCACCACCCTACTGAATCCCGGGTTTCCAGACCACCACCCGGTGCTCTGGCCTTCCCCATCCCAGACCCCTCCAGGCACCAAGGTGAGCGTGAGCCTGCACGGTTCTCCCGTACAGTCCCTTCCACACAACGCGCTCAGCGGGCTGGCCCTGCTCCAGCCCCTGGCGTCCACCCTGCCCCGGCGTCTAGCAGGCATGTCCAGCTCTTCCTGGCTTCCTGTCTCTGGCACGGGGCCAGTCGGCTGGGCTGGGTTCTGCAGCTGGACCACAGCTGTGGTCTCCGCCTTGTCCTGGAGAATGTCCGACAGCAGGCTGTGGAGCAACTCCCTGCAGAGGGCTGTATAGAAGGGTATGTGTGTGTGTGTGTGTGTGTGTGTGTGTGTGTGTGTGTGTGTGTGTGTCTGAGTCTCTGTGTCTCTGTGTGTGTGTGTACGTGAGTGGGGGACTGCTGCTGGGTAGGAACTGAGAGCCTCCAACTCCCTCAG